AACCCATTTCAGAAAAAAAGATGCATACAAATTGAGGGTGAAGGGATGGAAAAAGGTTTTCCAGGCTGAATGGAAATGAAAAAAAAAAAAGCTGGAGTAGCAATACTTATATCTGACAATTAGATCTCAGAGTGAAGGACATAACAAGAGATAATGAAGACTACTTCATAATACTAAAGGGAGCAATCCAACAAGAAGAAATAACCCTGGTAAACATATATGCACCCAATACAGGAGCACCCAAATATACATAAAAATAAAATAAAAAAATAAAAAAAACTGCTGGAGGACATTAAAGGAGAGATTAATAGGAATACAATCATGGTAGCAGATTTTAATTCCCCACTGTCACCTTTGGAAAAATCATCTAAACAAAAAATCAACAAAGAAACATCAATCCAAAATGATGCACTAGACCAGATGGAATTAACCGACATCTTCAGAACATTCCACCCTAAAGCCACAGAATATACATTCTTCTCAGGTGCACATGGGTCATACTCAAAGATAGACCACATGTTGGGACATAGGCAAAGTCTCTTCAAATTCAAGAAGATAGAAATCATATCAAGCATCTTCTCAGATCACAGTGGCACAAAAACTGAAAATTAACTACAATAAAAATAGTTCAAAGAAATCAAACACATGGAGACTAAACAGCATGCTATTAAACAATGACTGGGTTATCAGAGAAATCAAGAAAGAAATTAAAAACATCCTGACAACAAATGACAATGAAAACAGAACAATCCAAAATCTATGGGAAACAACAAAAGCAGTTTTGAGAGGAAAGTTCATAGCTCTACAAGCCTACTGCAAAAAAACAAGAAAAAATGGTAACAAATTATCTAACTCTACAACTAAAAGAGTTAGAAAAAGATCAACAAGAAAATCCCAGTGTAAGCGGAAGGAAGGAAATAATAAAATCAGAGCAGAGATAAATGACATAGAGACAAAAGAAACAATACATAAGATCAACAAAACGAAGAGCTGGTTCTTTGAAAGGATAAACAAGATTGATGAACCTGTAGCCAGGTTAATCAAGAAACAAAGAGAGAGGACCCAAATAAGCAAAATGAGAAACGAAAGAGGTGAAATAACAACAGACCCCACCAAAATACAAAAGATTGTTACAAAATACTAGGAATAACTCTATTCCAACCAACTGGACAACCTGGAGTAAATGGACATATTCCTAGAAAAATACAAACTTCCAAAACTCAATCAGGAAGAATCTAAAAATCTCAATAGACCAGTGACTTGGGAAGAAATTGAAACAGTCATCAAAAAGCTTACAGCAAATAAAAGCCCAGGGCCAGATGGCTTCACAGGAGAGTTTTACCAAACATTCAAGGAAGAACTAAAACTTATCTTCCTCAGACTATTCCAAAAAAATTCAAGAGGAATGAACACTTCCAAACTCCTTCTATGAAACCAGCATCACCCTAATACCAAAACCTGATTAAAACAACTGAATTAAAGAGAATTACAGGCCAATATCCCTCATGAAAAATAGATGCCAAAATCCTCAACAAAATTCTAGGAAATCAGATCCAGCAGTACATCAGAAAGATCATACACCCTGACCAAGTAGAATTTATTCCCAGAATGCAAGGATGGTACAATATCCGCAAAGCAATAAAGGTGATATATCACATAAAAAAATTGAGAGATAAAAATCATATAATCATATCAATTGATGCAGAAAAAGCATTTGATAAAATCCAATACCCTTTCCTGATAAAAAATCTCAACAAGGTGGGAGTACAAGGATCATACCTCAACATAATAAAAGCTATCGATATATATGATAAACCCACAGCCAACACCTTACTCAATTGGCAAAAACTAAAACCATTCCCTCTAAGAACAGGAACAAGACAGGGATGCCCACTCTCACCGCTCCTGTTTGACATAGTACTGGATGTATTTGCCATTGTGATTAGACCATAAGAAGAAATAAAAGGCATCCAAATTGGAAAAGAAGAAGTAAAGCTGTCCTTATTTGCAGATGACATTATATTGTATATAAAAAACCCAAAAGACTCCATCAAAAAATTAATTGACTTAATAAATGAATTTGGCAATGTAGCAGTTTACAAAATTAACGACAAGAAATCTATGGCATTTCTATACACCAATAGTCAACTTACAGAAAAAGAGACTAAAAAGGCAATCCCATTTACCATCGCACCAAAAAAATTAAGATACCTAGGAATAAACTTAACTAAGGAGGTAAAAGACCTATACGCAGAAAACTACACGACACTGAAAAAAGAGACAGAGGAAGATGTAAACAGATGGAGGAACATACCATCTTCATGGACTGGTAGAATCAACATCATTAAAATGTCTATACTTCCCAAAGCAATCTATAGGTTCAATGCACTCCCCATTAAAATACCAATGGCATATTTCACTGACCTAGAAAGAACTCTCCAAAAGTTCATTTGGAACAATAAAAGACCCCGAATAGCAACAGCAATCCTGAGAAAGAAGAGTAAAGTAGGAGAGATCTCATTACCAGATTTCAAGCTGTATTACAAAGCCACTGTTCTCAAAACAGCCTGGTACTGGCATAAGAACAGACATATAGATCAATGGAATAGAATAGAGAATCCAGATATCGACCCAAGTCACTATGCTCAATTAATATTTGATAAAGGAGGCACGAACATACAATGGAGTCAAGATAATGTCTTCAATAAATGGTGCTGGGAAAATTGGACAGATACATGCAAAAGAATGAAACTAGGTCACCAACTTAATACCATACACAAAAATAAACTCAAAATGGATACAGGACTTACACATAAGACGGGAAACCATAAAAATACTAGAGACATCCACAGGCAGCAAAATCTGACATATGCCAAAAGAACTTCTTCACTGATACTGCCCCTAGGGCAATGGAAGCTAAAGAGAAAATAAACAAATGGGACTACATCAAAATAAAAAGCTTTTTTACAGCAAAAGAAACCATCAACAAAACAAGAAAGCCCACTGTATGGGAGAACATATTTGCAAATGTTATCACTGATAAAGTTTTAATCTCCAACATCTACAGACAGCTTATACAACTTAATAAAAGGATGATAAATGATACAATTAAAAAATGGGCAATGGATCTAAATAGAATCTTCTCAAAAGAAGACAGAAGGAAGGCCAAGAGGTACATGAAAACATGCTCAATGTCACTAATTATCTGAGAGATGTAAATCAAAACAACAATGCAGTACCATATCACACCTGTGAGAATGGCCAAGATCAACAAATCAAGAAACGACAAGGGTTTGCAAGGTTGCAGAAAAAAAGGAACCCTCGTGCACTGCTGGTGGGAATGTAGACTGGTGCAACCACTGTGGAGAACAGTATGGAGCTTCCTAAAAAACTGAAAATGGAATGCCCATTTGACCCAGTAATCCCACTCCTAGGAATATATCCCAAGAAGCTAGAAATACCAATCAGAAAGGATATATGCACCCCTATGTTCATAGCAGCACAATTTACAATAGTTAGGATTTGGAAACAGCCTAGGTGTCCATCAGCAGATGATCGGATCAAAAAATTATAGTACATCTACACAATAGAATATTATGCTGCCATAAAAAAGGAATTTTCATCATTTGCAACAACCTAGATGGAATTGGAGAACATCATGCTGAGTGAAATAAGGCAGTCAATGAAAGAGAAACACCACATGACCTCACTCATTTATGCATAATAAAGAACATTATAAACTGATGAACCAAAAGATATATATAGAGACAGTAAAGCAACAAGTAGACTGTCGAATTACAGCGGGGAGGGTAGGGAGATCGGAGAAATATAAGAGATCCATCAAAGGACTTGTATACATGTATATAAGTACAACCAATGGACACAAAACTCTGGGGAGGGAGGGCATATTTGGGGGGGGGGGACACAATGGTATATGTACAGAGATAATAATTTAATTAAAAAATAAAAAAAGATTCCAACACAAGAGTCCTATATGTCAATCCTACCAGAAAAGTTTAACTGTAAATAAAGAGCAAATACAAAGGATGTATTTCATAAAAATATATTTTTCCACCCAGTGTAGCTCAGTTGGTTGGGCAACATTTCATCCCATGCACAAAAAGGTTACTGGTTCAATTCCCTGGTAGGGGATGTGCAGGAGGCAGCCAATTGATGTTTTGTTCTCAGCTCTCATGTCAATGTTTCTCTCTCCCTTCCTCTCTCTCTAAAAATAAACAAAAATATTTATCCCCCAAAATTACATACACACAAACAGACACACACACACACATTGTTCAAAACTTTTAAGTTCATTTCTTTTTTCCTAACTCCACAGTACTATTTCTAAGAATTTTAGAATAAATACATCTTATTGATTCATTTTCTAAAAGTACTTAATTCAACTATCAAATTACCAAGTCCACTGAGAAATACTAAGCTATTTGATGGTTCTCATTTTAATAAAGTTCTGGGAATATTAAGGATCTATATTAACATTTTAATAAAAATATAATAACATATAACATATACTGACTAAATACTTTGTAAGAAAGGGATAGATTTAGAATTGTGTCAATACTACTCATTGAGCAGGTTCAAATACAAAATGATTAGGAACTAGGGTGTGACTTATCTTAGTAATTTCTTATTCATAGTACCTAGCACTGGGTTTGTCATCTATAAACACTAAAAATGTGTACTGAACAGATAAAAATTTCTAATAAAGATGGAAATAGAAAATACTGAAATATGTTATACACATCCATCTTTTCTGTAGGAACAAATGTCATAGCATAGAAACTACAGTGAAACACTATATGTACTTAAGCATTAAAAATAATTTGATCCCATTCATCAGTACTCATCTGCAGCAGAGATAATACACAGATGATTTAAATATTTTTTTGCAATAGCATGTTAGCAACTTTAGAGTTGGATATACACACATTCATAAAAATATCATAAAAAAACCTAGAATTTTTTCTTTGAAAGCACTATACCTGTTTCATTCTTGGTAAATCCTTAATGTTTTCTTCTTTTTTGCAAAGCTCATCTTGCCATTGACTAAGATATGCTTGAATATCAATTTTTCCTTTGCCTGAATGAGAATAAAACCATTTTCATAGTTATGATTTTCATAATAAACAGCCTACTACACTTTCTGAAATCTCAAAAAAATTATTATCATCGAAAGATATTTCACTGAGTTATAAGCTTCTACATTTTTCTTTAATCCAGGAAATCACCTGAATTAAACTTTTATTTCACCTAGTGGTTCTCAGGACACTTCTTCATTTTCATTAAACTGAAACTTTTATTTTGGGGACTACGGAATATTTAAAGCAAAATTGAGAAGGATGAATTTTATATTAAACAGTACACCCTGACTTGATGATGTAAATTTCATGTAGAGCTAAAACCGGTTTGGCTCAGGAGATAGAGTGTCAGCCTGTAAACTCAAGGGTCCTGGGTTCAATTCCAGTCAAGGGCATGTACCTTGGTTGCGGGCACATCCCCAATGGGAGGTGTGCAGGAGACAGCTGATCAATGTTTCTCTCTCATCGATGTTCCTAACTTTCTATCCCTCTCCCTTCCTCTCTGTAAGAAATCAATAAAATATAAAATGTCTTTCTTTCTTTAAAAATAAATAAATGAATGAATGAATGAATAAATAAATAAATAAATAAATTTCATGTAGATATTTTCATGCATACTATGAAGTTTAAAATACCTTCTATATACAAATATTAATTGATCTATGGTGGCTCTTTTGGAAAATTCAAAACACAACTTATTTATTCATTCATTTAAAGAGTTTAATTATGCTGCTGTAAAAGAAGGAACTCCTACCATTTGCAACAGCATGGATGGAGCTGGGGAGCATTAGGCTAAGTGAAATAAGCCAGCCAGAGAAAGATAAATATCACATGATCTTAATTATTTGTGGATTATAATGAACAACATTAACTGATGAACAAAAACAGATTTAGAGATGGAGAAGCATCGATCAGATGCTCAAATCTCAGAGGGAAGGTAGGGGAGGGTGGGAATAAGGAGGGAGGTCAACCAAAAGACTTGTATGCATGCATATAAGCATAACCAATGAACAGAGACAGCAGGGAGTAAAGTGCATGCATGGGAGTGGTGTGGGGGGCAATGGGGGATATTGACACATAGGCAATACCTTAATCAATTAAAAAATCAGATAAAAAAGATATTAATATGACTTTATTAATAATTATCAAAATATTAAATGTGCCTATTACTTGAGACCTAGTATTCTCATACCAATATGAACTTGTCCTATCCTAAAGAAATATGTGAAAAGTATGTTAAAATATAAGAATAAAATGTCTATTACAGCAGAATTTATAACCTAAATATCCATCAATATTGGGCTAGTTATTAAAATAAATTATAGTACAAGGATCTAAGACAGAGGTGGAATAGGTGGAAGTTACACTCACTTCCTTCCAAGTCTAAACTGGAATTACAAGTCAATTATAGAAAAAAAAATCCTGAATAACTAACAGAAGACTAGCTGAACATAAGTCTTATAACCAAGGATTTACAGAAGAAACCACATCGAGACTGGTAGGAAGGACAGAGATGTGAAAAGAGCTGGCCCTGCACCCATGGGTGGTGGCTGAGATTCCAGAGGCTATCTCAGCTGCAAAGGTCCCCCTGAGGAGTGCGGGATCTCAATCCCATGTGAGGATCCTCAGCCCAGAGTACCAGAGCCTAGAAGATGAAGTCACATAACATCAGACTTTGAAAATCAGCGGGGATTCTGTCCACTACGGAGAGACAGAAGTCCACTAGACACAGGCATCCTCTTAAAGGGCCAGTGCACAAAATCTTGTTTATAGCCACTAACCCTGGGCTCCAGTCTAAAAGGGTGGAACAGACTACATTGTGTGAGACTAAACCAGGGTTTGTGGCTCTGGCAAGAGAACTGAAGGAGTGTCACTAGGATTGCGGTGCTGAATCATTCTCTCACACCACAGATACCATCTTTCTTGGGTGGAACACTCCATTTTTTATGGCATCAGCCTGAGGGAACTCCCTATTGCCCTGTGGTGGAAGAGTCAACTACCTAGGCCCGAGATATTGAGGTCTAGGCAGACTTATGGTGTGCCAAAGTGTGAGTTGTGTGTCTCTGGAGCAGAAGCCATTCACACTTTCCAGAGCCTAATTGGCACCACCCTTCCCCCATGGGACATCCACTAGCCTCACACTCCCTACCCCTAGGTGGCCCTGCCCTACCAAGCTTGGGCTCTCCAAAAAGTCAAAGCAGAATCAAAGACTGAGTTGTGTGGCTCTAGGAAGGGGATCATTTTTCCCTCACACACCTGACCATTGCACAACCTTCCTTCACAGAGTCAAATCTTGGTCTGTTTGAGCCTGATAAACTCTGCCTCTGCTGGCCTCCCCTTGATGACTCTCTGAGACCCTGCTCTACCACAAATATCTGCAGGCTACTGTTAGATGAAAGATGGCCTTGGTGTACCCTGAGACATTTGCTGAGTGGCCTCAGACCCAGCACTTGCACTAAGTTTGAATTTGTATAAACCTGGTGAACACTACTTGCCCCTACCTGGCATTCTATTGTGCCACCAAAGGCTTTTTCAGTGACTGAGCCTAACAGGCAGCTGGCAAACAAAGGTAGAAATTGGAGTGCTTTGGACCTTTTGTTGATTTATCTGCCCATGACCTTTGTGTTGGTGGAAGCCAGGTTTGGTGTTCAGTTTGGTCCCTCCCATGTGCACTCAGGCCCAGGAGAGACAGCCAAAAACTGTGGACTGCTCTGTAGTTCCAGATAGCCCAGGGCTGGGCACAGGCAGTGCCTGACATTGACCTGCACCAAATTCCCTCAAAAGAGGTCCCAGAACCAATACATCCTGTGGCAGTATTAAGACTATATCAGAGCACAATTCAACTATCTCCACAATTGGCACACTCAAAGGGAGATCTTGGCAGGCACCAGACTCTGCTGGGTTGAATTCCACTTCATGGGATCATACAACAGCAGTTCATGCACTCTGATCAGGGATGATCTTCATAGTCAGTCAGCCCAAGAGCCAACCCGACCCATAGGTGGACTGAGAGAAATTAAGATTCAACTACAACAGGAGGCTTCACATAAACCATAAAAGGGACATTCCCAGAGCACCTAGCTTAAGTGATTAGGGAGACAACTCCACTAAGCCCCTCAAGATACCTACTACCATATCAAGACTGGGAGATATAGAAGATCTACCTAATACACAGAAACAATTATAGAGAGATAGAAAAAATAAGGAGACAAAGAAACAGGCCCCATATGAAAGAACAAGAGAAATATGCAGAAAAAAAGAACTAAATAAAATGGAGGCAAGCAATATACCAGATAAAGAGTTAAAAAATGGTTATGAAGATGACCAATGAACTTATGCAAAAATAGATGAAGTGGGAGAGAATGAAAAGAGACAGTAAACATAAAAAGGACATAATTACCGTTAAAAACAGTCAGAAATGAGGAATACAATATTTCAAATTAAGAATACATGAGAAGGAACCAACAACAGGCTAGATGAAGTAGAGGACTGAATCAGCAGTTTGGAAGACAAGGTAGCATTAACACCTAACCAGAGCACTGAAAAAAAAAATTCATTAAAAAATATTAGGATAGTTTAAGAAACCTCTGGGATAACACAAAGCATAACAACATCTGCATCATAGAGGTACCAAAAGGAGAAAAGAGAGAGCAAGGAATGTAGAACCTATTTGAAGAAACAATGACAGAAAACTTCCCTAACCTGGTGAAGAAAAAAGACATATAAGTGCAGGAAGTCCAGAAAGTCCCAAACAAGATGAATACAAAGAGAGCCACACCAAAAGTTAAAGGCAAAGAATCTTAAAAGCATCAAGAGAAAATCAGTTAGTTACCTACAAGGTTGCTCCCATAAGTCTATCCACTCAAGAGAAACATTTTAGGCCAGAAGGGACTGGCACAAAACATTCAAAGTGATGAAAAGCAAGGACCTACAATCAAGACTATTCTGTCCAGCAAAGCTGTTACAAAAGTATGAATAATAATTGGCAATAAATACATATCAACAATTACTTTAAATGCAAATGGATTAAATGCTTTAATCTAAAAACATATGATGGCTGAATTAAGTGACAAAATGACCCTTACATATGCTGTCCATAAGAGACTCACTTCAGGTGTAAACACATACACGAAAGTAAAGGGATGGAAAAAAGGAACTTCATGAAAATGTAAAAAAAAAAACAACACAAAAAACAAACAAACAAACAAACAAAAAAACAAAAACTGGGATAGGACAAAATGGTCATTAAAAGAAAGGCTGTAACAAGAGATAAGGAAAGACCAAGCAATTCCACTTTTGGGTATTTATAAAAAAAAAAATCCAAATCACTAAATTGAAAAGACATATGCATCCCTATGTATATTGCAGCATTATTTACAATAGCTAAGATATGGAAGCAATCTAATTGTCCATCAGTAGATGAATGGATAACAAAGCAGTACATATATACAAGGAAATATGACTCAGCCATAAAAAAAGAATGAAATCTTGCCATCTGCAACAACATGGATAGGTCTAGGGGGTATTGTAGTGAATGAAATAAGTCAGACAGAGAAAGATAAATACCATATGATTTCACTTATATATTGAATCTAAAGAGCAAAAGAAATAAACAAACAAAATAGAAACAGACTCACAGACACAGAGAAAACACTGATGATTGATAGAGGGTTGGGGACTGAGTGAAAAAGGTGAAGAGATTAAGAAATACAAATTGGTATTACAGAATAGTCATGGGGATGTCAAGTACAGCGTAGGATATATAGTTTAAAATACTATAAAAATAAGTATGGTGTAAGATGGGTACTTTATTTAAGGGGGTGAACATTTCATAAGTTATATAAATATGTAACCACTAGGTTGTATGCCTGAAACTAACATAATATTGTACATCAACTATAATTAAAAAATTAAAAAAACATTAAGTTAAATTAAAATGTCATATAAAAAAGGGAAATCTGCCTTTCCCCTTTGCTTAAAAAACCCCAATAATTTAAATTATATTCTAGATCATAGTACCTTTTTCAGGGCTATGTTTTACTGATACCGCTTCCTTCCCACTTGCAGGCTTGGAAACTAAAAGAAAAGAGGACAATTGCAATTTGTAAACTATTTAACAAATAGATTTTATAAAATGATATTTTATATTAAGACTTTTAAAAACATTATTTTATTTAATTCAGCAAACCAATTTTAGCTGACCTGGCCCCCTATCATTAGAAGACAAAGTATTCAAGCCCAGCTGGAATGGCTCAGTTGGTTGAACTTTGTCCCATGCACCAAAAGGTTGCAGGTTTGATTCCTGGTCAGGGTACATACCTGGGTTGTGGGTTTGATTCCCAGTTGGGGAGCATACAGAAGGCAACTGATCAATATTTTTTTCTCTTTCTCTCTCTCTCTCTCCTCCTTTCTCTAAGCATGTCCTTGGGAGAGGATTTTAAAAAGAAAGAAAGAAGAGAAAGTATTCAAAAACTTTTATAGTAAAAAGAACAGTAGGGGGAAATCCATATAAAAAAATACCTAGGAGGAAGTATAACAAATATTAAGTATTTATTTCTGGTTGGTATTTTCTTCTTTTCACTTTAGTCAAATTAAATATTATTTATTTTATTATGAAATAAAACATACTGGAAGTAGTCCTGATTGTGGCAATGACTCATTGTGAAATCTTGCAGAAGTCACCACTTCTTTCTGGACCTCAGTGCCCTTATCTATGTAATTAAGGGACTGACTAGACGACTTATTAGGTCTCTTCAAATTTTATGTTCAAACACTAACATGCAGTAAACATACATTAATCAGACATATTCTTCTATAAGTCATTCATATTTATGAAAAAGGACACAAAATAAACTCATAATCCTTCCAAATTATGTCTTGGAGACAGATTCACCTCTGTCTCCTAAACCTACAATGATTTATAGTAAGTATTTACTGTTTGAATAATAGCTATTACCTTCAATAATCAAAGATTCTATTGCCTTCATTGTATTTTTAACAAGGCATGGAAATGATCTGATATATTTTAGAAACTTCTGCAACGTAAGTGGGAACGAACTGCATTTTCTTTCTAATTCTCCAGTAAATAAGAAATCCCATGCATCAAAACCAAAATGCAGTTTAGTCATTCAAATGTTTATGGAGTATTTACCATGCAGTTAGCATATTGCTAAGTGCTGGAGTAGCACAAAAGAATCATAAGGTATAATTACCCAAATTTTACTAGTGATAGCTGGGTAAAGAATATTAAAGCCAGGTGGAGGCGGCCAAGCCCAGGGTGGCCAGTCCAGGAACACCCAGACCCAGAGTGGCTGGGCCCGGAGAAGCCGGGCCCAGAGCAGCCAGGTTGGGAGCAGCCAGACCCAGAACAGCAGTAGCCAAGCCCAGAGCATCCAGGCTGGGAGTGGCCAGGCTCAGAGCGGCCGGGCCCAGAGCAGCCGGGTCGGGTGCGGCCAGGCCCGCAGCAGCGGCTGCCAGGCTGGGAGCGGCCAGGCCTGGAGCAGCCGGGTCGGGTGTGGTCAGGCCCAGAGCAGCGGCTGCCAGGCTGGGAGCGGCCAGGCCCGGAGCAGCGGCTGCCAGCCTGGGAGCAGCCAGGCCCGGAGCAGCAGCAGCCAAGTCCAGAGCAACTAGGTCGGGAGCGGCAGTGACCAGACCCGGAGCAGCTGGTTGTGGAACAAACCAGAGCAACAGAGGCCAGGCCCTGAGCAGCCAGGCTCGGAACAGCTCGCTCCTCGCCTGCCCCTGCCCCACGGCTGCCTCTCAGACATGGCTGGAAACTTTCACGGGAACTTGAAGGTCTGCTGAATCAAGTGATGAAGGCTTAGATCTGGATGTGTTGAGGTAGTATAGGGCTGGGGTGTTGATCTGTGAGTGCCTTGGGTGGGGCCTGGATGAGGCTAGTTGACCTATTGGGAAATGTCTTTTGTGTGAAGTGTATCATTGGGCATGTGGAGGTATTATTGATATGAGAAAATGCTAAGTAACTGATTTACTATCTGAAAAGGGATTTACTATCGGGGAAAGGGAGGGAAGAAGAGACTGAACAAAAACTGTGCACCTATGGATGAGGACAATGGGAGATAGGGAGGGGGCGGAGGGTGGGGTGGGAACCTGGTGGAGGGGGGAAGAAATGAGGAACCTTTGTAATAATATGAACAATAAAGATTGATTTAAAAAAAAAAAAGAATATTAAAGCCAGGAAGATCACTATTGAGTGAGCAATTATCAAACAGATATAGTTTGAACAGATATTTACCATGGAGCTGACTGAAATAAAGTAATTCTTCCTCGGAAAGTTCATCTCCCTTTGAAGGGTCCTTCAATTTCACTTCAGTATAAGCTGAAAACAGATTACCCAGATCAAATTTATTAACAATGAGGAATAGAAACAGTTCCTTTAACAGCTCAAGTAAATCTGGGGGCAGAGATTTAGTAACAAAAGGGTTTCTGTAAAAGACATATGAAGAAGTGTGGAAGTAGTACTACTCTATTGTGTAGCAAGTAACAGGAAATACTTGATCACTTTGAGTTCTATTATTCCTCCTACTTACGGTTTTTATAGTTTTCTGAGAGCCATTACAAGTTGAAATAAGAATCTAGCATTTGGAAATCTCTGAAAATGTGACCTCAATTATTTAAAAGCAACTTCCAAAATAAGGAAAACATGAAGTTCAGTGCTCTTACAGATATGTAATGTTCTTTCTATTTTTAATCCTCCTACTAAAAACATATTTATTACATGATAATATTAGGCATTTTAATGGCAACTTGACTTAGTAATGAAATTTCTTCATAATTAAACTATTTGGTATTTTGTCTCTTGTTTTTAATGCTGTGTTTGTGATCTGAGTGTGTAAAGAGTTAAAGATGGCTTTAAGATTCTTGGTTTGGTTAAAAGCATGGTTCCTGGCTATCCTGGGAAGACTAAAAGAGTTCCCAAGTATAGCTTTAGACAGTGCTATTTGTTTTTGTGAATTACCTAAGTTAAAAGATACTTTTGTAATGTCCCTTTAGTTGAAAGCCTAAGGCTGTTTACCCAAAATATGGATCAGGCCTAGAAAAGTCAGCCTCTTAAGGTTAGTGGGAAACACTTAAGTAAACTGGAATGGTAGAGTAACATGGAGGCAGTGTAGTAGGAGAGACAAAAACATGAGCTCTGGAGTCAGAACTCCATTTGAATTTCAGCTATGTGATCTTTGGAAAGTAATTTAATATTTCTGACCTTTAGTCTCCTTATTGTCAAAATCGGAAGTATATCACCACCTTACATAAATATTATGAGAATTAAATATAAGAATGCATGTAAGATGCCTTGACAGAACAAGTGCTCACTCAATAAATGGTAGCTTTTACTTTGTTTCCTTTTCTAAATGTTCACTATCACTGCCCTGGTCTCATTTTTTTCTGAATAATTTGTACCATTTCACAAGTTTGGCAGTTTGTTTAAAGTTAAATTCTACTCTCTAATGACAACAGCAGCAAAAATTCAACTTTATACCAATATTCAAATGATAGGTAGTTCTTATATACAAACTATCATTAAATTGGTAGGCCACTAACAGGAGGGAAATTTGTGAACCTACATGTTATACAGACTATCTTCCATAGATTTCACTGTATTTTTATATCAGTAAAAATACTGGTAGTATTATCCATGGGCCAAAATAAAGGAATAACCTTATATACTGAATACTGCTATTTGTTAAAATGAAATTATATCTGTAATTATACTTGTTAAAAGGGAGTCAATTACTAAACGTCATTAAAGATGTTAAGCTCACTGAAACCAGTTCGGCTCAGTGGATAGAGCGTTGGCCTGTGGACTGAAGGGTCCAGGTTTGATTCCGGTCAGGGGCATGTACCTTGGTTGCGGGCACATCCCCGTTAGGGGGTGTGCAGGAGGCAGCTGATTGATGTTTCTCTCTCATCGATGTTTCTAACTCTCTATCCCTCTCTCTTCCACTCTGTAAAAAATCAATAAAATATATTAAAAATAAAAAGATGTTAAACTCTTACCTGGAGGAATATGCAGCTTAAAAAGTAGTTTAAGCTTCTCAGTAAAACTTCCATTGTACATTATGTCTGTTCAATAAAATTTAATTACAAATAGTCACATATTCAAATGACATTTAATCAATTCCAGCAATGCAGATTAAGATACAGATATTAGTCAAGAATTAAAATTCAGAAACCTTCTATTACTTAAGCTAACAGTTAAATAAACACCCAGTCAGCTAGATCCTCTCTTTCTGGTGTGTAACCAAAATCCTCTTTATCAAGGGATAAAATGTTCTTCTGCTGATCTCCTTTCCCCAAAATTTCTTTTTTCCTTTTCCATGGGGCCTATGCCTCATTTGAGGAGAAAATTCTTCAAGGGACAATCCCTGACAAGAAAGCATGCTGGAGTGTTGTAAAAGAAAGGAATGATAAAACTAGTAGCCTATCTCTAGGTACATGTTTGTTGGATGTTTCTCTACTACTTTCCTTAGCTATGTGGTTGGATTTTTACTGAAGGAGAAAGTTCTCTTCATGTTAACTGTTAAAACATCCATATCTAACAATTTGCTTTTTTGGAAGGATAGGGACAAAATAAGACCAATATAATCAGACTTAGCAAGAAACACAGAAAAAAAGTCTAGTTATTGCTAACGCTGGAGACCATATAGATCTGGCTGATAAAAATCTGACTAAAGCTCATTTAGTGAGGCTCAGTGGTTGAACACTGACCTATGAACCAGGAGGTCATGGCTCGATTCCTGGTCAGGGCACATGTTTGGGTTGCAGGCCTGATCCCCAGTGTGGGGCGGTGCAGGAGGCAGCTGATCAATGTGGCTCTTTCAACATTGATGTTTCTATCTATCTCTCCCTCTCCCTTCTTCTCTGAATCAGTAGAAATATATATATATATTTTAAATCTGACTAAATTAGCAGTAATAGGTAGTACAAATATTTTTTTGGGGTCCCTTTATTTTTTGCTTGAAAACAGAAAATTATTCGACATTATCTTACCAATTGCAGAAGAGAATTCTTTGAAGTTGATAAGGCAGTCAGAGTTTTCATCCAACAATCGGAATGTCCATAAAGCTAGTGAGTCTCTGTTTGCAGAAGGAGCCCAGGGACTCAACAAGTGATATAACACTCGGAACTGCTGGCAATCAATCTGATACTGTTCTAAATATGGCAAACTGGGGTCATGGTGCTTCAATACTGGACAACTCAAACACCAATAATAAGAAAAAAACAGCTCTTTCTATTAAAAACAAATAAAAAAGGCAAGTCATTAAATCAGCAAAAGTAATTTTATAAGCTTTGTCCTTTTAAGCATGCTTACTAAAATAAAGATAAAAATATTTAAGAGTAGTTGTGGTAAAAAAAAATATATAATACAAGAATATTATTTTTCATTTAAAGAACAATACCTTAAAGATGATATAAAGTTCATCCAATTCATGAAGGCTCAATTTCACATCTTGTGATACAACACGTAACTTTAAAAAGATTAAAAGCAATTTAGAATTTAACACGTCAGTATAAAAATTCTTTTTGAATCCATTTAGAAATCTCCCTCTGCCAGAGTAAAATACTTTCCTTCCAACTTTTAAAAGGAATGACAAATGTAAATGCACCTAGTTTGCCCTTTAAAAAGGTTGTACATAGAAAACAGTTGAATTCTACTCTGATAAGTCCAAAAAATATGAGTCAGTAACTTGGCCATTTAATAAAGCAATATAAACAAACCCACAGCTTTTACATACAGAGCAATAAACAAATTGGAAAATATAAAGGAAAAAATGTATCATTTATATTAGCAACAAAACCATCAAAAGCAAAGGAGTAGATAAACCCAACAAGAAACATATAAAACCTATTTAGTGAAAACTATAAATACTTACTAAGGACATTTAAAAAGACACCATTAAAATAAATATTAAAAACTTTAAAATATTTTATTAATTTCAGAGAGGAAGGGAGAGGGAGAGATAGAAACATCAATGATGAGAGAGAATCATTGATCAGCTGCCTTCTGCAGGCTCCACACTGGGGATCAAGCCCGCAACTTGGGCATGTGCCCTGTCCAGGAATTGAAGCATGACCTCCTGGTTCACAAACTGATGCTCAACCACTGAGCCACACCAACCAGGCCCATTTTTTAATTGGATTGTTTTTCTTTTGTTGAGTTGTATGAATCCTTTATATATTTTTGAAATTAACCCCTTAATATGTTCTCCCATACAGTGGGTCCCCTTTTTATTTTGATGCTAGTTTCTTTTGCTGTGCAGAAATTTATATCATCAATAAATCAACAAACAAGTTCTGGCGAGGATATGGAGAAAAAGGAATCCTAGTACACTGTTGATGGGAATGCAGACTGGTACAACCAATATAGAAAACAATGTGGAGTTTCCTCAAAAAGTAAAAAATTAGAACTGTCATTTGACCCAGTGATCCCACTTCTAGGAATATATCCTAAGATGCATGAAACACCAATCAGAAAGAATATATGCACCCTATGCTCATAGCAGCATTATTTACAATACCCAAGACCTGGAAATAGCTCCAGTGCCCATCAGTAGAAGAACAGATAAAAAAAATCTATGGTACATTTACACGATGGAATACTATAAGCTGTAATAAAAGAAAGATCTATTACACTTTGAGACAACATGGAGGGACCTGAAGAATATTATGCTTAGCTAAATAAGATAAAGACAGGTATCACATGATCTCATTTAGATGTGGAATCTAATAAACAAAATAAACTTACCAAAAAAATAGATCCAAAGGCATGAAAGCATGCAACAGACTGACTAATCTCAGAGGGAAGAGGGTGGAGAGGTGGGAAGAGATTAACCAAAGAATTTTATCCTATCTAATAAAGGGGGAATATGAAAATCATCACGCTATGACAAAGATGGTGGTGCCCATAGCCACACAAGATGGTGGCACCCAGTTCCCTCAGCCCCATCAGAGTCCCCCAGTCCTTTCAGCCCCTAGGGGGGAAGGGGAGCAGGTGTGTGGTGTGGCCAGACCCGCCCTCAGCCCCCCAGCCTCTCAGGGCTGGGCTGAGTTGCAGGCAAGGCTTGGATGGTAGCTGCCCAGCTGACGCCCAAGGCATGGGCAAGCTTTGGATGTCGGCTGCTCAGCCGCCTAGGGCCAGCCCAAAGCACAGGGAAGCCTCGGATGTCTATTTCCCAGCCAACACCTAAGGCATAGGCAAGCCTCACATGCCAGTTGCCCAGACAACACCTAAGGTCAGGTAAGTCTTGGATGTTGGCTGCCCAACTACCAAGGGCAGGCCCGAGATGCAGGCAAGCCTCAAAGCTCAGGTAACCAGGGCTAGCCGAGGGTTGCACTGCCAACAGTGGCAGCAGCAGAGGTATGATGGGAACACCTTCCCCTGACTGCTTCCTGCCCCTGAGGGCTCCCATACTGTGAGAGGGGCCAGGCCGGGCTAAGGGGACCCCCCCTCCAGTGCATGAATTTTCATGCACCTGGCCTCTAGTATGCATATATGTATAACCCATGGACACAGACAATAATGTAGAGAAGGCCTGGGGAGGGGGCAGAAGTGGGGAGAATGGGGTCCAAAAAAGGGGAGATGTCTATAATACTTTCAACAACAAAGATAATTTTTTAAAAGATATATGAGGCTTTAAAGTCAAATAAATTTTAAACTATCCTTAAAAATTAGAGTATTTAAAAATACTGTTTTAGACATTTCCCCCTTTATCTTAGTATTCAAGATAATAATATACATTAGCAGCAATGACTACTATGTAGGTCAGCTGTTCTTATTGACAAAGCACATCACAAATATGCTATGTTTATTTTTTTTTTTTATTTTATTTTTTTTTTTAAATTTATTTTTATTTTTTTTTTAAATAAGTTTTTATTGTTCATATTATTACAAATGTTCCTCCCCCCCCCCCACCATTGCTCTCCTCCACCAGGTTCCCATCCCACCCTCTGCCCTTTCCCCACTCCCCATTGTCCTCATCCATAGGTGCACAGTTTATGTTCAGTCTCTTCCCACATCCCCATCTCCCCTTTTCCCCAAGAATCGTCAGTTCACTCCCCTTCCATACCTCTGATTCTATTATATTCAACAGTTACTATTGTTCATCAGATTTTTTTTTTTAATTTCCTTGGTTTTTAGATTCACTTGTTGATAGTTACATATTTGTTGTTCATAATTTTTATCTTTGTTTACTTTCTCTTCTGAAAGAACTCCCTTCAGCAATTCATACAATTCTGGTTTGGTGGTGATGAACTCCTTTAGCTTTTTTTTATTAGTGAAGCTCTTTATCTGACCTTCGAATCTGAGTGATAGCTTTGCTGGATAGATTATCTTTGGCTGTAGGTTCTTACTATTCATCACCTTGAATATTTCTTGCCATTCCCGTCTGGCCTGCATGGTTTCTGTTGAGAAGTCAGCTGACAATCGTATAGGTGATCCTTTATAGGTAACTACCTTCTTTGCTCTTGCTTCTTTTAATATTCTCTCTTTGTCTTTTGCTCTTGGAATTTTAATTATGATTTGTCTTGGTGTGGTCCTCTTTGGATTCCTTTTGTTTGGAGTTCTGTGCGCTTCCTGGACTTGTAAGTCTAATTCTTTCCCCAGGTGGGGGAAGTTTTCTGTCACTATTTCTTTCAGTATGTTTTCGATATCTTGCTCTCTCTCATCTTCTGGGACCCCCATAATTCTGATGTTGGTTCGCTTGAAGTTGTCCCAGAGGTTTCTTACATTATCTTCAATTTTCTGGATTCTCTTGCCTTCTAGCTTCTGTGGAGGAGTGTCTTCTGGCTCTCTATGTTCCAAATCTTTGACTTGATTCTTGCGATCTTCCCTTCTGTTTTTAGGACTCTGTAAAATATTTTTTATTTCAGACAATGTATTCTTTATTTCTTGTTGTTCCCTTATCATTTCTTGTTGACTCCTTATTAATTCTAGTTGATTTCTTTTCATGTCCTCATAGGTCTTATCCATCTTTTCTAGGAAATTCTTGAAAAACCTTATAAGCGTAGATTTGAACTCTATATCCAGTAGCTTTTTGTCCTCCATTTCTTTCGTTTGTGATCTATTTGGTTTAGGCATTTTCGCAGGCAGCTTTCCTGATGGGGCGGGGTTTCAGGGTGGAGCCTACAGCTTTGGCTTCTGTCAGCCCCGCCCTATGCGACTCCTGAGACGCAGGGTCCTTCAGTGCTCGCTGCCGGCGCCTCTGAGAGAAAGGCGCCCTGGATTTTCGCCTGCTGCCAAACAGTCAATGCTCTCCCTCAATGAGCCCGGTATTGGGGTTCAGTTCAGTTGGAAGTGGAGTTGGAGGTGGCGTTCAGAGCAGACTGGAACCCCTGTCTCCTTCCCGCCAGGCAATCCTGCGGCACAGCCGGCCGTCCCTTCTCTGCGCGCACTCACTGGGCGCCACCACCGGGACCTCCTTTCGCAGCTTCCCCGGGTTCCGCCTCGCAGCCCAGCTCCCTCTGGCTGAGCCTGGGTCCCGGGGGTCTGGCCTAGGCCTGGGGTTCAGAGCAGTTGGGGGCCCAGCACAGTCAGAGTTTTATCTCCTTCCCGCTAGGGAACGCCCGCCAGGCACTCCGCTTCCCTCCTCTCCGGCTCCGTCCTCTCGGCGCGCCGTGTGTCTCCGTACCTTCGGCTTTTCCAGCTCCTCCGCACTTCCTTCTGGTTTTCTCCTTGCTTCTCGTTGTAGAATTTCCAGTCAGTCAACTTTCCTGTAGTTCTGGGTGATGTCCATTTTATATTTTAGTTGTATTTTATTGAAATTGTTGTGTGAGGCTGCAGCTAGGTATTTACCTGGGCGCAGCCATCTTGGAGCTCTCAAATATGCTATGTTTAAATGTCTATATCATAGTATTCATTATTGAAGGTCAAATAACACAAAACATGTTAGTGAAACCAAAATAATGAACTGGGTGAAAAAGGTGAAGAGATTGAAAAGTACAGATTAGTAGTTACAAAATAGTCATGGGGATGTAAAGTACAGTATAGGGAATACAGTCAATATTACTGTAATTAATTACTATAATTGGGTACTGTAAATATCGGGGGAAACATTTTATAAAGTATATGATTGTCTAACTACTATGCTGTACACCTAAAATGAATATAAATAATATTAAATATAAATTATGATTGAATAAAATACAGAAAGCAATTCCCCCCCCAAAAGAAAATAACTTATTTCCTCTCAAAAATTTATAATAAACTAAGTTGTAGCAAGAATCTACCTAAAAACTTTAGTTTGTCACATTTTCTTTACAAAGAATGATAATTTTTAAAAGGAAATTGAAGAAAAAAATGATCACTCTAACTGGTATCCCCCCATTGGGTGGTGGTTACTCACCACATTCTGTTTTGTTGTTTCCTCTAGAGTCTGTATCACATACAACCTATTTCGACAGCGCATGCTGTGTATATCTTCACAACGAATATTACCATATTTCTGCAAGAAACATGATTTCGGTAAATACTCATTAATAATAAACATCCACTTCTCTTACAACTGAATTTCATCAGATTCAATTTCTAGAGGCTTTTGTTCTATTTCTAGCTACTTTCTTAACTTGTTCAGTGATTATGCAAATTTTCACCTCCACATTTCATTTTCTCTACATATTCACTGGAGAAAATTCCATCTACTATGTGTCAAGAATAAGTACAAGAACATTAGTAAAATTCTTAGTATCTAAGAAGAGAATAATTTTCTCCTTTTTATACAGTGACAGATATTTAAAAGTGATAATTATTTTTGAAAGCAAGTGATAACTTCATTTAATGAAAAGCAAATGGAAGAGGAGGCTACATGACCTAGGAACAGTTCACAGAATTCATTGTTAAAGTGAAGTCGTATTTTAAAATTATATCTTTACTTGTATTATTACCTTACTCTTAATATACCACTAGAGATATAACTATAGTATCAATTATTTTAAATATGCTAAGTAATTATATATTTATATTAAAAACTTACCTCATTTGACTCTCTAATCAAATCTGTAATATCCACTCTAATATGACTGCTTTTTTCATCACTCACATTTGAACCCTGCTGAACACTTGAAGGCAATGGACTATCCTTATTAGTGATACTGTCAAAGAACCTATCCAAAAGTGATAGTAATACAAGAATTAGTAGAAGTAAAATACTGAGAAATGACAGCTAAACTCTGCATAGTTAGTCAGAGGTTAATGTCAACTGAAAGGACAAGGGACAGTTTTATGAAGAAGTAAAATTTGAAGGTGGAATTAGGAAGACAGGGGAATGGGGGATGGGATGGGGAAGTAATTACTTCAGAGGTGGGGAGTAGAACATGATGGAAACAGGCTCAGAGTAGTTTGAGAGTACTCAGAAAATACAATAGCCCAGTAAGGATATGTAGAGGAATGTAAGGAGAAATAAGTTAAGAATAGGTACATCGAAGCCTTAACATAGTGAGTTCTAAATGTTAGAGTGAGGTAGTTATAATTCATGGGTACATAATGGGATTTGGTGGACCATTACAACAGTTACCCAATGAAATATTCATTCATTTAACATATACATACCTAGTGTATATGCAAACACACACATATACATACACACCCTCCACAATGTTTTAACATAAAACAGCATTCATAGAAAAGGTAGGAAAACAAAGTTCAGTCTACCACTTAGAAAACAGAACAATTTTCCTCACTGGATATTTAACATTATCAACTACCCATTCCCCTTCAAATTACTTTTACCCAGTGACACTTGATAGTTTAAATTGGGACTATGAAAATCTCAAAATAATGAATCAACAATATTAGTGGCTTACTTCAAAGTGATTTACTTTTGTTATATTCTAAGTGGAAATAGTGGAGTGAATTTTAGGTGTAGCTTTCTCATTCAACTAGCTATGTGACTCTGGGCAAATTGCTTCAAGTTTTTAGACTTAGGTTCCTCACCTATAAAGTAAGGGGTTAAACAACATAATCTCTAAGGGTCTGTCTAGATTTAAATGTTATGGTTCTTATAGTACCTGTTTAAAGTTGTCACGGCTTCAGCATCATCTTTACATGCCAGCAGTTTGTCTAAATTATAGTCAAGTATTGCCAATCCCAGTTGTAAAATGGCCTTTATTCCATCGTAGAAGAAACAGTCAACCACATTCACTGCACTTTCAATGGGTAGTACACTGATAAAAAGGGTGAGGAACCATGAAAGAGAAACTGAAGAAAAGAATGTCATATCGGTCATGTGTTCTGTTAGCTGGGGAAGATGATCCCTGATAAGTTCTTCAAAGACCGCCTGATCTACCAAGGCACCTGAAGGACATAAAAATAAGTTTAAAAATGAACACCTTTCAAAAGGATTTGTTACCAATACTTCCCACTTCTATTAGTATGCTATTAAACCTAATTTTTCTTCCTTAAATTATGAATTTCTTCAGTGCCTTTTCTACATTTTACAAATCTCTTTATCTGTTAATAGAGTGTCTTTTATTAAGAAGCACTTGAGAAACTCAATTCAAATTCATTTGAACATTTAATGAATTGTTACCATGCATAGAAACCTGTAATACACCAATTAATGAAATGGTCTCCTTCAATAAGCTTAATATCTAGTGGAATTTAAGATAAATACACAAATAATTAAAATGAAAGACCATACAATCAATGATATAGCCATGATTCTGAAGGTTTATGAGGGTACAAGGGAGAGACCATCTATGGTTTTACGGCATGGGAATCATAGATCTATAAATATTTGATTACTGAAGAAAATATTACAAAATTAAGAAATCAAGAACTTGGTCTTTTTTTCAAACCTTTCAAATATGTATACAATTCATATAAATGCGGAGATTTTAAGCTGTCTAAAACCTCTTATCAAGAAACTATTAAAAATTATACAGTAGCTCTTGATGCGACCCACAGGTTGAGAACCGCTAGCAGGGTTGCCTAAGACCATCGAAAAACACAGATATTTACATTACAATTCATTAACAGTAGCAAAATTATAGTAATGAAGTAGCAACGAAAATAATTTTATGGTTGGGGGTCACCACGACATGAGGGTCACGGCATTAAAAAGGTTGAGAACCACTGCTTTCGATAATTATTTTAGTAATACAGAGAGAGTGAACTTAAGATTTCTATTTTATTAAGAAATAGACCAGATACATTTTTTAAAGCAACATATTAATCTTCCCAATTATTACTAGTGCAAAAATGTCTTTACTTGAGCATGTCTGTGAATGTGACATATTCATACTGCTTGCAATCTGTATACTCTAAAACTTAATTGATCTGTTCTTGCATTTAATAATTGAATAGACAAGAGGCATATAAATTGTTTAGAAAAGAAATATGTGGTTTTTCATGTATTTTTTGTTTTTTACCAATGATTCGACGATTAAAATAATCAGGCAACATTCGTTCACATACAGCAACCAAAAGCCAAAATGCTTCTTCTTCTTTTGCATACAGAAGCAACACTGAAGTCAAAATGTTCATTGCCTGAAATTCACAGAGAAATAAAAAATAGTCACTTAGATGATCCATTCATTTAAACTACTTTTCAAAAAAAAAAATCTGTATTGATAAGTTTCAATGAATGAATAGGATTGATATGTAATCCTATGGGTACTCAACCTATTATGAATGAGTTTGTAGCAGAGAGAGCTAGCTATCAACCATAATCCATACTCCCTTCTTCCATAGTGTCCATACTCAGCAACACAACATTCTGTAGACTTCTTTGTAAATAGGTTTGACCAAGAGACAAGATCCTCCAATAGAATGCAGGTGAGACATCAAAATTACAACTAAATTAAAGAAAAACCATCATTCAGAACCATCTGAAATCTGGCTTAATGGAGATCATACAACTAGGGAATTAAAAAAAAGACACATCGAGATTGGTAGGAAGCATTGAGACACAGAATGGGCTGGTCCAACACCCAGGTGTGTTGGATAAAAACTGGGAGGGATATCTCAGCTGCAGAGATGCCCCCTGAGGTGTAGGGATTCTAGACCCTCACTAGACCCTGAACCCAAGGTTCTAGTGCCAGGAAGAGAACCCCTCATCTTTTGGCTGTAAAAATAGCAATGGGGATTGAGGCTGAGGGAGACAGAGGGCTGCTGAGTCTCAGATAGTTCCTCTTAAAGGGCCTTGTGCACAGACTTAATTGGACTCACTCCCTTTGAGCTCCAGCACTGGGCAGCAACTTAAAATGCTGGTATGGCTCAGTGGCTGAGTGTTGACTAATTGCTGGTTTGATTCCTGGTGAGGGCAAATGCCTGGGTTGCAAGCTTGATCTCCAGTAGGGGGTGTAAAGGAGGTAGCCAATCAATGTTTCTCATCAATATTTCTCTCTCTCTTCCTTGCCCTTCCTCTCTCAAATAAATAAAAATATAATTTTTAAAAAAAGGAATCCAAGACATACGAGTAAGAAGTGGATTGTTTGACATCAAGGCAAGAGCTGGGGAGGAGGCACAGCTTTCTCCCAGACAGAGGTGCTTGCAGAGGCCACTACTGCTTTAATGAGCCTCCACCCTTATAGAGCCAGTAGACGGGCACCATATCTGAGACTCCATAAATCTGGATCACACTTTTTGCCCCATCCTGATAATTCTCTGATGCCCCACCCACCCAACTTTCCAGCCCACCAAAGGGGTTTCTAGTATTTTTTTCCATACAAATGGCCTGTCTTGGCTCATGCTTCAGATTTGCCTACCAGTAAAATCTCTCAAACAAGCAAGCATATGGTCTTGGTGTATCCCAGATCTATTGCTAAATGGCCCCAGGACTGGCACTAGTAGCAGTTGGCCTTGGTTTGCAGCTTGGCCTCACCTAGGTATCTCTAAGCCTAGCACAATGGCAAGCATTTGCTAATCACTTTGCAGCTCATGTGGGTGGCCTCAGGCAGAACACAGAAGCTGAACTTAGCCTGTACTTCCTTAGAGGCCCCAGAGCCCACACTCAGTGGACAGCTTCAGAACACACTGAAGAACCACTCAACCACCTCCATAAGTGATACACTCAAGGGGTGAACTCAGTGGCCACTAGAGCCCAGTTGAAATAATCCCTGCTCTATGGGGTGAGTCCCTGCAGATATGATCCTCTAAGGTAGTAAGCAGTCAGTGGTTACAGCCAGTCCTTACAACTAATTGGCCTGGAGGTAAATCCCCAACCCCATCAAGACTCAACTACAACATGAGGATATATACAGCCCACAGGGGGGCATGCCTTGAATAGTCAGCTTGAGTGTTTGGGAAGGCTGTGCTACTAGACCAGGCAAAACCCCTACCACATCAGGCCACTCTGCCAAGCTTGGGAGATAAAGCACCACTACCTAATGAAAGAAACAACCACAGGGAGGCTACCAAAATGAGACAAAGAAACATATTCCAAATTAAAAAAGAACAAACTCCAGAAAAAGAAGCAAACAAAATAGAGACAAGCAATCCATCAGATACAGAGTTCAAAACACTGGTTATAAGGATGCTCAATAAACTAAGAACTTCAACAGAATAAAAAAGGAGAAGTCAGAAATGAAGGATACACTAACTGAAATAAAGAATAATTTAAAGGGAATTAACAGTAGAGTACATGAAACTGAGAATCAAATCAGCTATTTGGAATATAAGGAAGCAAAACATGCCCAATCAGAACAGCAAAAAGAAAAATGAGTAAGAGACAACCAAGATGGCAGCATAGGTAAAAGACTAAACTTGCTGCCACATACAACCACATTAAAACTACAACTAAAAGACAAAATGAATATTATCCAGAACCACAGAAAGCCTGGCTGAGTGGAAATTCTACAACTAGAGGGAAAGAGAAAAGCACAATGGATCCAGTAGGAGGTGCGGAGGTGTGGAAGTTTGGAGGTATGGAGAGGCACACAAAAGGGGCTGGCAAATGGGCACGTTGGTGTCTTTTTCAGTCAGGATGGAGAGACAAGCTCCCAACTGCTATGAACTACAGTTTCAGGAAAGACTCTGGGGACCCAGACTTATACTGAGAGAAAATGGACTGTCTGGCATTGGGATAGAATGTGAGGGTGGCTTTCTCTCAGAGATGCTTGTAGCAATGATTGTTCCAGAACGATGATGCAGGACACAGAGAACTGGGGGCCTCTTCGTGACAGGACTGATGGGCAATCAATGCTGTTTTCTCTGCCCTGGTGATTCCCTGAGACCTGGCCCCACCCAATTTACAACCTCATCCAAGCTGTGCACAGAGGCCTTTGCATATGAATGGCATAGCCTTTTGCATTCTAAACCCTAACAAACTGCAGCTCTGTCAAAGAGCCCCAGAACTTCCAAAAGAAGACCCAAGGCTGGAAAACAGCTTGCATTGCTGCACAGCTCGGCCTCATCTGGGCAACTCCAAACCCCAAACAAAGAAGAAAAATCTGCAGATATCTCTGTAGCTGCTGCTGGGCGGCTTCAGGCAGTGGCTGACTTTGCACCTTCTTGGAGATCCAAAAGCCAGTGTACCCAGTGGTCAGAGAGAGACCATCCAAATTACAACTCTTCACACTCAGGGACAGACTCAGTGAACACCAAAGCCCTAGTGAAGCAAGTCATAAGGGTGTCTCCAGTACAGAAGTTCTCCATGGTAGACAAAACTGGTCCTCACAGCCAATTGGCCTGAAGGTTAATTCCACCCAATGATATGAACAGTAATCAAAGCTAACCTACAACAAGACTGTGCACACAGTCCACAAAGGGGTGCACCAAGAGTGTCCACCTTAGGTAATTAGGGAGGTTGAACCACTGGGCCCTATAGGACACCTAGCACATAAAGCCACTCTATCAACACAGGGAGGCAGCCAAGATGTGAAGACAAAGAAACAGGTCACAAATGAAAGAAATGGAGGAAATCAAACTATTAGATATAGAGTTCAAAACCATGTTTATAGGGTTACTCAAGAATCTTCTAGAAACCTCTGAGAAATATAGGAAGACCCTCAAGGATATGAAAAAAACAAACAAACAAAAAAATTAGAAATGAAGCATACACTCACTGAAATAAAGAATAATATACAGAGATCCAACAGCAGACTAGAGGATCCCAAGAATCAAGTCAAAGTTGAAATACAAAGAAGCAAAGGACACCAATGCAGAAAAAAGAATCTAAAAATATGAAAATAGTGCAAGGAGCCTCTGGGACAACTTCAAGTATACCAACATCCAAATTATAGGGGTGCCAGAAGAAGAGAGAGAGCAAGATATTGAAAACCTATTTGAAACAAGAGTGACCAAAAACTTCCCCCACCTGGGGAAAGAAATAGACTTACAAGTCCAGGAAGTGCACAGAACCTCGAACAAAAGGAATCCAAAGAGGACCACACCAAGACACATCATAATTAAAATGCCAAGTGCATAAAACAAAGAGAGAATATTAAAAGCAGCAAGAGAAAAAGTTAGTTACCTACAAGGGAGTACCCATACAACTCTCAGCTGATTTCTCAATAGAAACTATGCAGGCCAGAAAGGAGTGGCAAGAAATATTCAAAGTGATGAATAGCAAGAACCTACAATCAAGATTACTCTACCCAGCAAAGCTATCATTTAGAATTGAAGGTCAGATAAAGAGCTTCACAGATAAGAAAAAGCTAAAGGAGTTCGTCACCACCAAACCAGTATTATATGACATGCTGAAGGGTATTCTCTATAAAGAGGAAGAAGAAGAAAAAGATAAAGACAAACATTATGAACAACAAAGTGACAACAAATACATATCTATCAACAAGTAAATCTAAAAGTCAAGTGAACGAAAAATCTGATGAACAGAATATACTGGTGAATAGAACAGAATTAGAGGAATAGAAAGGGAGTGAACTGACAATTCTCGAGGGGGATGGTGTGTAGGGGATGTGGGAAAAGACTGGACAAAAATTGTACACCTATGGATGAGGGCAGTGGGGGGCAGACAAAGGCAGGGCATGGGGTGGGAATGGGGTGGAGGGGAGCTATAGGGGAACAAACAGGAACAACTGTAATAATCTAAACAATAAAGTTTTATTTTAAAAAAGAAAATGGAATAAAAAATAAGTACCATATTTTCTGGCGTATAAGACGACTTTTGAAACGAAAAAAAGTCAACCGAAAATCGGGGGCAAAAGACCAAAATTGCACAAAAATTATCTGCAGATCTTGACAGCAAAATAAGTCTTTTCTTTGAAGTGGGGGGGTAGTCTTATACAGCAAATATAGGCCTAAACCTATGTTTTAACTGTAAGATTAGGGAGTCGTCTTAGAAGCCGGAAAATACGGTATAGTGTAAGGACCCTATGGGACAATTTCAAGAGTACCAAATTACACACCATGGAGGTGCTGAAAAGAGAAGAGAGCAAGAAATTAAAAACCCATTTTAAAAAATAATGGCAGAAAATTTCCCTAATTTGGTGAAGGAAATATACATACAAGTCCAGGAATCACAGAATCCCAAAGAAGATGAACCCAAAGAGGCCCACACCAAGACTCATCATAATTAAAATACAAAA